AACAGGGCCCTCCCGTGGCCGGTGCAATTTGAGGACATGCCCAGGGGCACCTGGGGACAATGTAACCACGCCTTGTCCACAGTGGTCCATGAGGTTGCGGATTAACTTTGCCTCACAAGCTTCTGATTGGTGGCCTGCCGTTTAGCAGAATTTCTGAGACGCCTCTCGTGCTTCTGTCAGCAGCCTGATCGTAAGCTGCATTGGCATGGGCACAACGACCTTCCTCTTGCCCAGGTCCATGCCTAACTGAGCCTCCATGGGGGGGGGGGGTCACATTCCCTCCCATACATGAGGAAAAAGGGGGAGAATCCTGTTGAGGCGTGAGGGGCCATCCTATACGCGGCCAGAACACCTGGAATGTGCAAATCCCAGTTGGACTGTGCCTCGTTGACCTGTTGGCACAGCATGGACGTAAGAGTCCTGTGCAAACACTCTACCATCCCATCTGTCTGGGGATGGTAGGGCGACATCCGGATGGTTTTTGTGCCCAGGGAGTCGCAGACCTCCTTCATCAATTTCAATGAATAATCTGGACCCTGGTCCGTAATGAGATGTCCCAGGGCCCCCTTGTCCAAAACGTACCCATGTAGAAATGCATCTATGATGGATGCGGCCGACTGATCTGGCGTGGCCATGCTACCAACCACCCCGACAAGAACGAATTTGTTTCCCCTCTGAGTTGCAGGAAACGGGCCGAGGATGTTGAAGCCAACGAGCTAATTATTACGAGACACCACAACGGATTGTAATGGATGCTGGGCCTGCCTCGGCAGAGGCCTGCGACGAGGACACTCAACACAACCCTTGACCATGTGGTACACATCCTCTGACATCCTGGGTCAAAAGAAGTCACGCTTCAAAGTCAAAGTTTTCCGCACCCCAAGGTACATTAACTTTACGTGGACAGCCCGTGTAACTTTACCCCGCAGAGCGGACGGCACAATGATGCAATAACAATGCAATTCCTCATCCCACCTGATCAGCAGCCCATCAGGAAGGGCTTTGAGAGACATTCCCACCGGTACCTTTTTGCTACCCCTCGTTTCAATGCGATGCTGCAATTTTAACAAGGAGGCATCCTCTACTTGGAGGCATCCCCATTCAGCGTGTGTGAGACCAATTGTGTTGTCACAGGGAGCAGTTGCCGCGGGTGGTGAAATATCGACCGATGCCACAACAGTGCACGGCAATTCCGCAGCCGATGGTTTACATCGGCTGGCACCCATCAAGCATGCGCAGCGGTCCCTCGGTGGTAACCGCGATAACCCGTCCGCGTTGCAGTGACGTATACCCTTCCTGTAGGTGACCGCGAAGGAGTAGTCCTGCAAAATTTCTAACCAATGGGAAAGTTGGCCGGAAGGCTGGTGAACTCGCAAAGCATATTGAAGGGCCGCGTGGTCCATGCGCACAACAAATTACCTTTGTAAAGATATGGCCTGTACTGCTGTACAAAGTGCACTATGGCCAACTACTCTCGGCGTGTCACACAATAACGCTGCTCTTGTGGGGGACAGCGCACGGCTCTGTAAGCCACAACCTTCTCAACACTGTTCATGACCTGGGACAGTACAGCACCGATTCTGGTGTCGCTGACGTCCGTATCTAATACAAAAGGGTAGAGAGAAATCAGGGTACTCAAGAGGAGGCGCATTGGCAATGCCGTCACGCAGCGAGACAAATGCGGCCTCTTCCTCCTCTCCTCATTGAAATCTCTGGCCCTTAGCAGTGAGCACGTGGAGTGGTTTAGCAATCATCACAAACTTGGGTACGAACCGGCGATAGTATGACGTGAACTCGACAAAATTGCGCACATCACCCACCGATGTGGGGGTCGGCCACGTGCGCACGTATGCAGTTTTGTTGGGATTAGTCGCTATCCCAGACTCGCTAACAATATGGGCCAAATAGCAAACCGACATCTTCAAAAGATGACACTTTTGCGGCTTAAATTTAAGATTGGCCGCCTGCACCCTGACAAACACTGACTGCAAAGGTGCAGGTGCTCCTGGAATGTGTGCCCGAACACAATCACATCATTCAAATAAATGAGGCATGAGTCCCATTGAAGACCTGCCAAGACTAGTTTCATAAGCCGCTGAAATGTGGCTGGAGTGGAGTGAAGACCCATTGGGAGACAGTTAAATTGGAACAACCCCTGAGGTGTTCGGAACGCGGTTTTAGGTTTGAATCCTTCATCCAAGGGCAATTTTCAAAATCCTGACAACAAGTCGAGGGTAGAGAAAAATCGCGCACCCAGCAAGGTGTGCAAGGAGTCATCAATCCGTGGGAGCAGGTATGCATCTGCCATGGAGACTTTATTTAATTTATGAAAATCGACACAAAAAAGCAAACTCCCATCCCACTTTTTAACTACCCCCACGGACCGGTGGAAGGGGAGATAATGTCGGCAGCCAACATTTAGTCGACTGCCTGGCAAACATAGTTTCTTGCTTGGGACTGACAAATTTTGACATATTGAAGTGGCATTACCCGTAACGATACGGTGCTGCAACAGTGACATGCGACCAATATTATATTTCCCTTGACTAAAAATATCAGCAAATTCTTGGAGCAAGGCATGCAATTCGCCTCACTGCTCTCCGGACAACTTTGCATCCATCTAAGCCTCATCCGACTTGCCTCCCCGCTCCACCATGGCAACGACCTCTGCGGCCTTCTTGCCAGCCTCCTCACAACACGCAGCCATCGTGTGGGCCAAAACTGTACCCGCTTGGACAACCGCGGCTCCCAGCTTGACGTTCAAAAATTGCAAAAAGGCACCTGATCCCCCCTTACTATTGTTTGGGCCCCCACCAACGCGAGACCCTGAATAGCCCTGTTCAAAGAGGTTAAAAGGACCCCTCCAATGATGTCCGCGTGATCAAGTGGATTCAGCAACCGCAAGAGCACCAACATCTGAAGTGACTGGTGGTCGGGTGTCTGATGCATCGCGACTTGCCTGCAGGCCCAGGGAAGTGGAGATCAGCGGGGCAGAGGAAGACTAAGGTGAGGAAAACGATCCAGGGCTGGCATGGCATCCCCTTGGCAATGTGGCTCAGCTGGCCGCACTTAAAACAAGTGATTGGAGACCTCCACGCTGGAAGGGGGTCCCACCTCACCGTCCCCACTCCCGTTGTTGTCCCTCACTTTTCCTCCCACATGGGCTCCGGATGAACAATGTGCAATCTCGCTCTGGCTCCTGCCGCTCCAGCTCGTCCTGGTCCTCCGGAAATCCTACACAGGCGGCCACCACGGGCCACCGCTGCAAACTAATGTGGGCCTGGATGCAGCGGGCCACCTTCAGAGATGATAAGTCGTCCTCTTCCATGGCAGGAAGAGAGACACCCAGCTCCTGGCCCAGCGACAGCAGTCTCTCCAGCATCAGAGAGTCCAGCACTGTGTGCTCCATCCACGGATATGCTGCATGGACCAAGGACAGTAGCGCACTGTAGAAGGCAAGAGGCGTCTTGGTCTCCCCCCTCGCAGCATGAATCTTCCACACACGTTGGATGGCGGGTCGAAAATAGCTGCCATATGGGCGCATGCCTGAAGCAGCATCGCTCGGTCCGCTGTGGAGATGGCCTCGAATGCAGCCAAGGAGTCATCGTCCAGCACCGTGGGCAGAGCTCGCAGCGCCTCTTCATTGGACCACCCAGCCAGGTTGCAAGCTGTGCTGAAACGGCGCTAGAAAGCCGTCCAGTTGCCCCCTGCAGCCACAGACTCCTTAACAAAAGGCAGCCGCTTTTGTCGAGAAGGCACCACTGCCCAAGGCTGCCGATGGCCACTAAAATTTGGTGGAATGCATTTCCCACCCGGGTGGCAAAATGGCAGGTGATTGCAGCACCCCTCTCACGGTGGGCAAAATGGCATCCGCCCACGCGGGTGGGAGCTCCGCCATTTCCTACGCTGGAATGGTGGCGAGGCTCGAGCTGCCTGCCTGCTGCCCCCGTATTGCAGCATCCCCGGCAGGCGTTGCAAGTCCAAGCTGGACAACCAGCTCCACTGCATTGGAGAGCAAGCCTGTGAGCCGCGCGGTGAGCTTGCCCCACCCCTCTTACCACTGGCAGCAAGGGTTCAACATCTCTCCATTGTTGCTCTGCCGGGAACTCCGCCTCAGGACCTGTCACTGGAGTCCCCGATTCTGGGGTTGTCAGGGGGATCACATCCCCATCGTCCTCGTCACGAGGACACTATCGGCAAAATCTTCCTCTTGGCCTACTATAACATAATGAAAATATTTATTTTCTTGATTATCTTTAACATTTCTGACACCAAATTTAGTGACCGACCCAGAGACACTAAGAGTAGAAGGCACTTTGTTTATTAACACGGCCTGACAGTTAACACTTAGTAACTACGTTTCCCAGTCAGGACAGCTTGTAGACTGCCCGACTGACGACGCCAAGATGGTGAAGATGGAGACGACGTCGAAGACTCCAGCAGCACGACGGGATCCCACTCCAAACGACAGCCACGAGGTCTCCTCCCGGGGACCCTATGATACTGTCAGCATGGCCTTGCTCTGCCCCTGGCCACGCCCCCCCTGGAACCTACTAGCGGGTTCTCGATGTGCCCCTTCCGTGACCCTTCCCCTAGATCCCTCTCATCTATCACTTGGCCTGCTGTCAGCCAGGGCTGCTGTAAGCTGCAGATTCCCTTCCCTGCCCGCAACCAGCACTATGCTGCTAAGTGACCGATTATATGTCACTACACATGTATTTACATTTATATGCATTGTATATACCCTCTTAGATTTCATATCTATACTCGTATAGGCGAACCTCCACTTATGTGAATTCGCACTTACGTGGGGGCACATGGAACCCAACCCCTGCAGCGTACTCTGAGCTCTTACTGTACATACATCTATGTATGGGTCTCTTTATGTTTGTCTCTATAACTCTATGTCTCTCTCTTCTTGTTGCCGTTTCCTCTGCACAAAAATAGTGCAGAGGAAACGTTTGAATCAAGATTTTTAGTGCAACTATTTTAGAGCATACCTGATATTGAACAGCCATTCGCAACTCTTGTGACCTAGGAAAAAAAAAGAATCACAAAATGAAATGTATCTTACATCACAGCAACATTGTACCTCGTTGAATTCACGAATATTATCTCTCCATATTTTTCGCAAGTGAATCCCGATTGTGTTAACGGTATCGTCTCTGGAGCCAATGTATCCTTTCAGAACTTTAAGAGAGCAGCTTAACCCTTCGTTTCAAAGAACAGCTCACAGAAGCAGATACCACAGAATAGGTTTTCGCCTTTCTGGTAATAAAACAGGAGGTGTTAAGATATTCAAACACCAAATAGATAACTTTTTCGAGGAATCAAGTCTGCATTAACCACGCGTACTTGTGGTGAACATCCAAAACAAACATGTTCAACATCTTAAGACTTGTTTTATTGCCAGAAAAGGTAAAATCTATTCTCAGTTTATACACTTTCTTACTGGCAAAAAGGTACCCCATGATATAGCTGCTCTGATATGTGCATTGTTTTTGTACTTTTCGCCTTTTGGCGTTCTCTAGTCTGACACTGGTGATAATAGGTCATGAAGAAGGCTCTTTGGTTCTATCGGTAAAGTCACGTATAAAGAGGAAATAATAAATTAAATACTAGCATACGACGTTTCGATTGCAACACAAGCAATCATCATCAGGTATGAATGAAATAGAAACACAAATCTAGTATACTTAGAAATGTAATGTAATACAACAGTCAACACCCTACCTGGTTGATTACGTTCTTCCTGAGAATGCTAAATTTGAGAGAGAGATAAAACACAGAACCAGAGACATATAGACAGACATATAAGTAGAGACAGATATCACAGAGATACATAGAGAGACGTACATCGGCACACAGAGAAACCACGCCTCTGTGTCGATGCCTTAAATAGAGAGAGGGGGTGGGGGCGGAGAGAGAGGGAGGGGTTAGAGAAATTAGCATGTCAATGAGTGGCACGCTGCAGAAGCTTGGAAAAATGAGGGGACAGGGAGAGAGACACACTGAATTAAATAACCTAGCAAAATTTCGAAATGTAACGTAATGCAACACAGAGAGTCGGACAACACACACTTAACGCATAGACTGGTTGATTACGTTTTTCAAAGATGGCTAAGTTAGAAGTTAAGTGTGAAATTTTTAAGAGAGACAAGATGCAAACACGAAGAACAGACCCAAGCAGAGAGAGAGAGGAACAACAGCCGAGACACACAGAGAGAACAGAACATAAGAACGACAAAACGAGTGGAAACAGAGAAAGTACACTTAATCAAATAAACCAAGCAAAATTTCGAAATGTAATGCAATGCAACACAGAGAGTCGGACAACACACAATTAACGCATAGCCTGGTTGATTACGTTCTTCCAAAGATTACTAAATTAGAAGTTAAGTGTGAAATGTGTAAGACACAGACACGAAGACCGATACACAAGCAGAGAGAGACAACAAAAATCCAGATAGAGAGAGAAAAAACAAACTTAAAACTTCCCCGTAGAAGTGGTTCATACTTAATTTTGAGCTTTCGTGACTGCAGGAATTACTCTTTGGTTCTTTCGGTAAAGTCACGTATAAAGAGAAAATAATAAATTAAATACTAGCATACGACGTTTCGATTGCAACACAAGCAATCATCATCAGGTATAAATGAAATAGAAACACAAATCTAGTATACTTAGAAATGTAATGTAATACAACAGAGAGTCGGATAACATAACAGTTAACACCCTACCTGGTTGATTACGTTCTTCCTGAAAATACTAAATTTGAGATAGAGATAAAACACAGAACCAGAGACATATAGACAGACATATAAGTAGAGACAGATATCACAGCATGTGCCGATGTACGTCTCTCTCTATGTATCTCTGTGATATCTGTCTCTACTTATATGTCTGTCTATATGTCTCTGGTTCTGTGTTTTATCTCTCTCTCAAATTTGGCATTCTCAGGAAGAACGTAATCAACCAGGTAGGGTGTTAACTGTTGTGTTATCCGACTCTCTGTTGTATTACATTACATTTCTAAGTATACTAGATTTGTGTTTCTATTTCATTTATACCTGATGATGATTGCTTGTGTTGCAATCGAAACGTCGTATGCTAGTATTTAATTTATTATTTTCTCTTTATACGTGACTTTACCGAAAGAACCAAAGAGTAATTCCTGCAGTCACGAAAGCTCCAAATAAAGTATGAAGAAGGCTGTCTGGTATAGATCAATCAGTTTCAAAGACAATGCATATGTTACACTGGTCTTCAATTTCTAAACGTCTGCTTCAGAGATGAAATGTGCTGTTTATTATGGATTTCAAATATGTAAATTAAAACCACCGATTGGCTACTGTTCTGAAGATATTTAAGTTTTTACATTGTATGTGTATGTATAGTGTGTCGAGTTTTGCTCATAAATTGTAAACCTAGTTCTTTTCATGTGTTTATGGTTGTTTTACGTGATAAAATGTCACCTGTCGTGTTCATGCAACACTTAAAAAATCAGCAATATGGTTATATAAATAAAATGTATTATATATATGTAATAAAGGACTCTTGCACTGGGTCTGTCTCCGTTGTCCTTTATTGGTTCGTACAACTTGCCCGCACGGCGTCTCGCTCAGAGTCTCCTCCGTCTCCCGCTCGGCAGCCCCACTGCTGCCGTCGCTCTTGCAGCCCTGTTGCTGGCTCACTATGCAGCCCCGCTGCTGGCTCGTTACACAGCCTCTCCGCTTCCCGACCTGCAACCCCACGGCTGCTCACTATGCAGCCCCGCTGCTGGCGCTCTGTCGCCTCCGTGCCCGGACACCGCTGGCCGACGGTGCCGAGTCCCAACCCTGTGGCGATCACGCCACTTTCCTTCTCCTGCCCCGCGTGGCCTCCTTCTGTCTCTATTCTCACACTCTCTCCCCAACCCTTCCGGTTCCTGTCCTTAAAAGCTCTCTCTCTCTCCACGTGACCCTAACTCCTCCCACCTGTTACGTCACATCCCGCGAGCCCGTTTACGCTCGCATTACACCACCCTCCCCCGTAGAGAAAATTCCAGCTGTCCTCGGCTGAAACATAACAAGTAATGCGAGCGACCACCAACCATCAGCCATGACCGGACAACAGAGAATACAACGATAATAACAATAACAACAAGAACAAGAACAACAATCAACGAAAATAAAGAGATTTGGAACGTGTGCGGGTTGCCGGCCCGTCCCGGACGAGCGGTGGCCCCCCTGCAGACTGAGAACGCGACGGGGTTTTAAGAGCGACAGGATCAAAACCGCCTGTCGCTATTGGAGGCCCGCCAACGCCAAGGTCCCGTTCCCCCAAAGGACCCAAGTCCGGGGTGTCCCGCAACCGTGTCTGTGGTGGGTTTGGAGGGGCGGCGGGGTCAGGTGTCCCCGCAGCTGTGGTAGGCGCACCCAGAGCAGAGTCCACTGCCTCCGGCAGTGTCACGGCCGGTTCGTCTGTAGAAGGCACGACAGGCGCTCTTGCAGGGTCAACAGGCACAGGCAAAGGTGCGTCGGCAGCAACAGACACCGGCAAGGCAACATCAGGAGATGACGCATCCGTCCGTGGGGCCACGTATGGTTTCAACCGAGATGTATGGACATACCAGCGCCGAGATCCGAACCGAACGTGCGTGGACTGCGGGTTAGGAACCTCAATGAGCCTAACAGGCCCCTGCCATGGTTTATGCAATTTAGGGGAGGTTCCTGCTCGCACCTGCGGGCAATGCAGCCAAGCCATGTCCCCCACCTTCCAGGGGCACTTCCCCTTCGAGCGTCGAGCGCAACGTTCGTTTCGGGCCTGGGTTTTGGCAGTAGCCAATCGGGCCCCCTCCCGCGCCTCAGCGACGCGGCGAACGGCGTCCTGAATGTAGTCGGGGAGAGGCTTAGTAGGGCCTCTCACTCCCGTTCCCAACTGCACATCCATTAGCGGCACGTTTTCGCGACCGTACATGAGAAAAAACGGAGAATATCCTGTGGACGCGTGAGGCGTCATCCGGTATGCCGAGAGTACCCCAGCGATGTGCAAATCTCAGTCAGCTTGCTTCTCATTAACCGTGTGACATAGCATGGCTGACAGCGTCCGATTTAGCCGTTTCACCATGCCATCCGTCTGCGGGTGGTAGGGAGATGTCCGGATCTTTTTGGTCCCCAGAGCAGCGCACACCTCACCCAACAATTTAGAAGAAAAATTCCGACCCTGATCCGTGAGCAGCCTCTCCGGCGCCCCTTTGTCCGTGACATATCCAAATAGAAAGGCGTCCGTAATGGACGCCGCCGACAGGTCGGGCAGGGGCCAGGCCATCGGCCAGCGGGAGAGATAACCCACCCCAACTAGCAAGTATTTATTACCCCTAGCGGATGGCGGGAAGGGTCCCAAAATATCCAACGCCACCAACTCGTTAACTCGAGACACCTGTATAGAATGTACCGGCGGCACATATGGGTGTTTAGGCGGCTTCCGCTGGGCACACTCGGGACACGCGCGAACGTGCCCGACGACATCCGTCGTCAAGCCGTGCCAGAAGTAGTCTCGCTGCAACGTCAACAAGGTTTTCTGCACCCCCAGGTGTAATAGCGTGTCGCAATGCAGAGTCCTAATCAATTCGTACCGTAACGACGACGGTACAACAAGACGCCATCGATCATGTAACCCCTCCCTCCACATCAGCAGTCTGTCGCGGCCCCCGGTGTCCCTCCGGAAACCAGTCCCCCCCCTCCCTTTGCAGCCCGACTCCGCAGAGTCCCCAACGAGTCGTCAAGCATTTGTTCACGAATCCACACTGCTCGTGGAAGGTTCAGAACCCCATCGGCCGGTCCCAGGCACACTGGAGCCTCAGGCACCTCGACCGCTAACGAAATAGGCTGAGGGGGCTGTTGAGTCGGCGTACACCTATGCGTACCTGACGCGCAAGCGCAAGGGGATCCTTGCGGTAACCTGGAGAGCGCGTCCGCATTCGCGTGACGCGACCCCTTCCGATGCTGAATTTGGAAGGAAAACTCCTGCAGAGTGTCCAACCATCGTGCCAGCT